CCCATGAAAGAGAGCGACAGTTTCCATGAAAGGGATCGACAGTCTCCATGAAAGGGAGCGACAGTCTCCATAAAAGGGATCGACAGTCTACGTGAAAGGGAGCGACAGTCCCCATGAAAGGGAGCGACAGTCCCCATGAAAGAGAGCGACAGTCCCCATGAAAGGGAGCGACAGTCCCCATGAAAGGGAGCGACAGTCTCTATGAAAGGGAGCGACAGTCTCCAAGAAAGGAAGCGACAGTCTCCATGAAAGGGAGCGACAGTCTCCATGAAAGGGAGCGACAGTCTCCATGAAAGGGAGCGGCAGTCTCCATGAAAGGGAGCGATAGTCTCCATGAATGCATACTCGTCAGTTAGGGTTAGGGTTAGGGGCAGGGTTAAATGCAGGAATGCTGACGTGGCTAGGAAATTTCCAGACGAAGGCGAAGTCGCAAAATAAGAACACTGATGACAAACAGGGCACAGTGATGGCAAACAGGGCACAGTGATGGCAAACATGGCACAGTGATGGCAAACAGGGCACAGTGATGACAACAGGGCACCGTGATGGCAAACAGGGCACAGTGATGGCAAACAGGGCACAGTGATGGCAAACAGAGGGCACAGTGATGGCAAACAGGGCACAGTGATGGCAAACAGGGCACCGTGATGGCAAACAGGGCACAGTGATGGCAAACAGGGCACAGTGATGGCAAACAGGTCACAGTGATGGAGAGGAACGAACGAAAGCAGCACCCACTGAAAATTATGACGCAGTAAACGATGAACACGCTTAAAAACAATCAATACACGACATGCATAGAACATAGCAGATTTCATATTGTAGGGTTACTGTTAAATGAACTTTGAATAACACTAGCCCTAACCCAAATCCCCCCCCCCTCCTCCCCTTTCCACTATAGAACCGTCTAGGGAATTCCCTGCACAATCTCCAACTAGATGAGGTGAAAAGGCTGAAAAGAACCTTTCTATGTCTCATGTTGTCTGTGTTGAACTCCCAGGGGCCAGCCAGATTTGTTACTGTCTTAAAGCTCAATACGTTTATGGAGACAGTGTTCAGTAACAACTGCTTGGAATGGAAAGAGTTAAGCCAGATCTGCATAACAGCGCCTGGGTGTCTAGTGCTTGCTACAGTGACAAGATTCCTGTAATTAGGCTTGAATGACTTGTCCATTTCGTGTCGCCCACGCAAGCAGCAGTCTTTGTCCCAGGCGCAGGAACGCGGAATGTGATCTCATTGACTGTCTGTCTGCGGCGATGTTTGTACAGCTGCTGGCTCCTGATCGTTTCTGGGAGTAGATGTTCTTTCTCTCTCCTCTCTGCCTTCCTTTATGTTCGTTGTATACCTTCCTGGGCGTGTGAGTGCGGCGGCCTGCGTCTCTTTGCTGGTTCGGGAAATATCTCTTCTGTCGGCTTCCCATCAACGTATGGGAGTTGTGAGTGTATATGTGTGTGTATATATTTGTATGTATTTATGTGTGTGTATTTGTGCGCGAACTAGATCGGGAAACGTTTCTTCTGTTGGCATATGGGAGCTGTGCGTGTGTGGGGAAAGGTGGGGGAAGAAAATGGAGGTAGACCCCCCCCCCCCCTAATGCTGGTTCGGGAAATATCTGTTCTGTCACATTTCTGATGAAAACGTGGGGAGTTGCTGTGTGCGAATGTGTCTGCGTGCGTGTGTGTATATGTGTGTATACTTCTGTCCTAGGTCCGGAAATCGTTTCTGTCGGCTTCTGATGAATGTGTGTTTGCCTGTGTGTTTTTTGTTTGGGTTTGTTTACGCGATCGTCTGTGCTAGATTTGGAAATATCTATTTTGTCAGCTTCTGATAAACTTGTGGCAGTTGTGTGATAAGTGTGTGCTCGCGCGCTGGCCTGTACCGGTGTGCGAATCTTCCCATATTATGATATGCGTATATTTTGCACGTATACAAGGTCATGAAATAGCAGTTGTCTACGGTTTCTAGAGAGTTGTTTGTGGGCGCACGCGCATGCGCCTACGCTTGTACTTAGTGGGGAAAGTGCCCTTGTCTGGGGGATCTCAACGAGCAAAGGGGTCTTATTCTACGTTTCACTCTTATGTGTGATTATCATAAGGGCCTATAATACACTGGACTACCCGTGCTCATAATAATGTTGTAAAGACGGATCTAGAATACGGTATTTATAACCAATGTGCTACATGTGCCGACCTTTCTGTGTAAGGGGGAGGGGGGGGGGGTATAACACAGCGCTTTTCTAGAAACCTAACTTAGCCCCCCCTTCCCCCACCCCGCATCACTTTTTTTCTAACCCTATCTCGGGGAATCGGATATTTCTTGGGCAGTTCCAAGGAAAGTCCAATAGTATAAGGATATTAGGGTGTGAAATGAACTACAGATAACCCTAACACCCCCTCCTCCCCATAATATTGGACTTTCCGGGAAACTAACCACGAAATATCGGAGTCCCCTAGATGGGATGAACAAAAAGAAAAGTACCCTCTCTACTGTTGGGAAATAAATATAAAGATTCTGCCAGGATGTGTGTTATTCGACGTTTCAGAAGTATTTCATTACACCCCTTACAATACAATTGGTGGGGGGGAGGGGGGGCCGTGCTTGCTGTAAATAAGGCCCTTTGACGTTTGAAAATGTAAAGGATTTTTAAAATCAGTCACAGAAACATTCACATTGCATAGAGAAAACTAATATAACGATGACAAGTATTGAAATTGAAATAACGAATAACATGAAAAATAGTTTTAATAATGCGGATAAATTTGGTGCACTGCTATAATTCTATCGCTCCCTTACGTTTCTCGATGTCTCTCTTCTTTCTTTGCACGCGAGCCTACTTCGTCCCGCTCGCGGATTGTTCCAGTATCTCTTACTAGAGGAGAGGTCAGTGTCACCCACTTTGAGAATCCCTGCTCTGTCAGATCATCTATAAACCACAATCTTCTGTACGGGGGCCAAAGATCGGTCATGACCGAGGCGACAAACTCCAAACACATCAAGTACGTACTAACCGAATTCCACTATGTCCGATATATCAGCAGCTGTTTCATTGTTCAAACTAACATATGTCAGCGTTTGTTTCAGCCGATATAAGCTGTACAGTACAGTTTATGTAAACACACGACTGGGGTATATGTGTCAGTGAGAGAATGAATGATTTAGTGTCTGGGCAGAGAGAAATATCAGTTATGTTCACTTGATGGAATCAGTCTATCAGTCTGCCTATTCCAGCAGTATACCTACCTACCTACACACACCCACACACACACAGATATATATATATATATATATATATATATATATATATATATATATATATATATATATATATATATATATATAATCATCCCTTCCCATTAGACACATCATAATAACTGGTTTAATTGGCAAAGAAGTAACAATCTTAGTCATTGTCTATACGTTGTTAATGCATGTATTAAAAGGTTTTGAAGTTGTGGACTTATGGCTTCTGAGGCGAATTACTAAAAATATTATGGGCCGACAGAAAAATAAGACTAGGTAACGTGTTCTTTGAGGCAGGTAAAAAAAAAAAAAAAACCGTAACTGATAACATAGATTCTGAGTAGACTGTCAAGATTTTCTAAATATACGAGAAGTCAACACGGAAACTTGGGAAGGCAAAGTTCATGTTCAAACGGCAAGGGGAAAGATGGAAGAGTTCCATGTCTGGATGGCTTGGTTATGTGTCCTGTAATATCTGAGTGTAAAACACGATGCTCCCACCAGTTAAGTATAAATTTTTCTTCTTCTAAACGTTCATCGGCTGTAAACTCCGGCGGAAAGTTCTGGTTGGTTGTTCATCCACTTCTGGACTTTGGTGGTCTGGTTCCTGGTCCTGCGTTTTGTCTGCACATCTGTTTTACAGATCTGGCTTATTATGTGTTGGTTCCTAGCCTCACGGTCAGATGGACTTCTTGGAAAGAAACATTCCTAATTAGTCGCCTTTTACGACATGCTTATTAGGGGACCCGGGGGGGGGGCGGGGGTTGTTCTTGATTTTACCCAAAATGGCATCACAGAATAAGCAGAATAACCCGTCTGACTTATATCGCGTCGATGTCAGGTTAAATCATGGGTGACTGAGTCGCCCATGAGCTCGCCGGTCGGGACAGTACTTGTGTCTGTCTCCTGTAATCGCATTAACACTGCAAGAATTCCTTTTCAGAGCTGCTTAATGGCGAGCAGTGCTAAGTCATTTTATATGGCGCACAAAACCTAGTCACATTAAACAGTTATCAGTAGAATAATGGTGCCCCATGAAACAGGTATGAATGTGTGTATATAGTAATGGTGATGTATGAAACAGTTATGAATGTTTGTTTATAATGATGGTGCCCCGTGAAACAGTTATGAATGTGTGTATATAGTAATGGTGATGTATGAAACAGTTATGAATGTTTGTTTATAATGATGGTGCCCCGTGAAACAGTTATGAATGTGTGTATATAGTAATGGTGATGTATGAAACAGTTATGAATGTTTGTTTATAATGATGGTGCTCCGTGAAACAGTTATGAATGTTTGTATATAGTAATGGTGCTGTATGAAACAGTTATAAATGTGTGTTTATAATAATGGTGCCTCGTGAAACAATTATAAATGTAAGTATTAAATAACGGTGCCCTGTGAAAGTTATGAATGCTTGTATAAAATATTTATGCTGTATGGAGCAGTTGTGAATGCTTGTATAAAATAATGGTGCCCCAGTAAACAGTTATGAATGCTTGTATTAAAAAAATGGTGCCCTAAGAAACAGTTGTGAATGCTTGTATAAAATAATGGTGCTCCGAGAAACAGTTATGAATGTTTGTATAAAATAATGGTGCCCCGTGAAACAGTTATGTATGTGTATGTAAAATAATGGTGCTGTATGAAACGTCATGAACGTGTGTATGAAACAATGATGCCATATGAAACATTATAAATGTGTGTATACAATAATGGTGCCCCGTGAAACAGTTATCATTGTTCAACATTGACAGATAACCACACCGAGTCGATGGAAGTTGACGGGGCTGTCGACATTCCCAGCAACAAGGCAACAGTTCTGCGCGGGCATGAGTCTGAAGTGTTCATCTGTGCCTGGAACCCGACCAACGACCTGCTGGCTTCAGGGTGAGTACCTTGTTTCTGCAGCCCTCTTAAGACATGAGGGGGACTTCTTCTTCGTCTGGGTCCCAAACAGGATTGTGTGTTTAAGGTCGCCGCCACCGGTCTCCCATAGCTTCTCTCGCAGTGTAGCTCTCTTGGGCCAGATCCACAGTCTTTGCTGGGAGAGACATGAGATAGACTTATTCTTCTGCGTTCGACATCAGTCATGCTAAACATTGAGTCCTGTCTGGGTCACAAACAGGATTGTGTGTTTAAGGTCGCCGCCACCGGTTCCCCATAGCTTTCCTTGGGCCAGATCCACAGTCTTTGCTCGGAGAGACATGGGGGAGACGTATGGGCATGTACGATCAGAGGAGCTGCCACAAAGATAAACCTACTATGTAATTTTCTAATGGGGGCGAGAGCCTCAAGGCGCTTAAGCCTTCTGTCCATCGGTTTGTTCTGTCCGGGCTGCTCCCCACCTAATGGTTTACCTGATCATCTTGAAATGTACAATATCTCACTCTAGGCGGCAAACCAGTAAGGCAGGTCACATGTAACCCCGTTTAACCTCTAAAGAAGTTATACTGTAATTAGGTCGCTGGCAATGGCCACACCAACCAGGGGTAACTTCAGTCCTACATAGATAAGGTCGCCTAAGCCTTGATTAAGTGCGAAATAATAATAAAAATAACAGTTTTTATTGTTTCTAATTGTTAAATAAATATAATAAATTTGAAAAGTTAATGAAATGTATAAACACAGGGGAGTAACGTTAACCGCCTTGCACGTTTCCTGGAAATATGGCGGGGGGGGGGGGGAGTGGTGCCTTATCCTAAGCTAAATATATTGAGGGACAAAAATCAAATCCTTACCTGCACAGTCCATGACAGCAGCACTGGCCATGCGTCTTTATATCCTCAGGCTTACACCCCCTCCCCCTTTCTACACTGCAAACCGGCTCTCTAGCGAAGTTGGTTAAACCTGACGTTCGCGGCGGCCGGGTGACGAACTCCTTGTGGTCCGGGTTCACTCCCGGGGGTAGGCAGAAAAGCCACATTTCTCCCAGATTAACGGTACCTATAATGGAATCAAGGCCGAAGGGTTGCGATATCCATAGTACCGAGCTAAAGGGTTTACAACTCATGGTTTCTGGATACGTAAAAAAAAAAAAAAAAAAAACACACGTGTGGGGAAAGGGGCAGAACGTGTCTGAGCACCCGGATCTGGCGCCCCTGTGTGTTATCATGGCCTTCTCTTCTAGGGAGTCGCCGTGGCGGTGCGGCTCGACGCTCGCCGCAGATCGGAAGGTTGTGGGTTCGCTCCCTGGCGGAGCCGGACTTTTTTCAAGAATGACCCATGCCTCCAGGTCGACCCAGCCTTGAGTGGGTACCGGGTGCAGTCCCGTGAAGTAAAGGTCTCCGGCATGATGCTGACCTGACAGAGCCTGACTTGAAAAAAACTCAACATTTACAAACAACCTTTGGCTACCAGATCACCCCAGCCTTGAGTGGGTACCAGGTGCAGTCCTGGGAAGTAAAGGCGGCCGGCATGGCGCTGACCACATTACCCTCTAAGTGCCGTTTGGTCTATAAAATATATATTATTTTAAATGACCTTGGCTACTAGATCAACCCAGCCTTGAGTGGGTACCAGGTGAAGTCCTGGAAAGTAAAGGCGACCGGCGTGGCGCTGACCACATTACTCTCTAAGTGCAGTTTGGTCTATAAAATGTAGGTCTAGCCCTATGTGCCGTTTACGCCCGAAGACGTGTAAAATGGTCCTTTACTTTCACTGTAGAGTTAGTGTAGTACGTGCTATAGGTAGGTAGGTAAGTTGTACCCCACCAGGACATCACACAAGCGATAAACACCCGGTGACACAAAGTGCCTCTATGCGGATGAGGATCACCCGTGAAGAAGTCTCAGATGCCCCTTTCAGCCACATTTAAGTCCCGGCTGTATTTAGGGCCCCCGACAAAAGCCAGGGTGGGGCTTCAAAATAACTAAACATTGCAGCCCACCAGGGGATGACCAGATTAAATTTATTTTTAGGTTAGTTGCGTATCCTTTACAGGACGTTGCAGAGCCAACCCCAGCAGCCCCTGGCTGTTGTGTGGTCTCTCTAGGCAAATTTACGCCCAGTAGTTTGCCATTGCTTACTGGACGGTCGGCCCCCTGATACCACTGTGGAAACCAACGAAAGGCGCATGGCCCGCAGCTGGGATCGAACCCGGCATCCCGGCATTACGAAGCGTTCGCATCGACTTAGCCCCAGAGCTGACATTAAATATATACGCGTCCTATAAAACACTGTTCTTTAACCTGTGTACACCCTCGGACCCGGATAATGGGAGGCATATTTCGCGTACCGGCTGAAGGCCAGACAGAAAATAAAACAAATGTTGACAGTGATTTATTGTTTTCTTTCGGGTTTTTTTAAAATTTAGTTTCGTATAATTACAATGTGTAACCAGCGTGACGTCTGCTGTTGTTGAAGAGGTAATAAAATATGATTAAATGACTGGAATGTTGAATCAAAAACAAAAACACTACACTAATGTCCATTGGATTAACAGTGAACTCTCTCCATCGGTAGTCTTCAGTCTGGTAAACACAATTTTGAAATTGAATATTAATCTGTTGTGTGAACTGACATTTTTCTCCCAGTTTAACTATAAATAATTTGTTAAACTAGTTGTAAAATAAAAATAAAATCAGAGAAGGACGGTATGTTATTTTACACTTAAAATTTCTGTGGATGTTTTTTTTCTCTCCCTAAGTTGTAAATAGTGGTTAGGAGTTTTCATTTTCATTTCTTGTCTTTTCAGTCAGTTACCTTTTTTAACTGAGAAAAAAAAAACGGGGAAAAAGGTGGAAAGGGGGGGGGGGGAGAATAAGGTGTTCTAGTCATATATTCAAGGGACCTGAACAATCATTGACGACCGGGTCGCCTATTGGCTCGCGGGTAGACGACTTCGTCGCCGGTCATGACAGAATTTGGGTTTGTCTGTTTTCTTCTGCTTCTTCTTCGCGCTGTTCCAGAAACTGCGTGTTGTGTGCTCATCCGTTTCACAGGTATGACTCATTTGCGTGCAATGTTAGTTCCTTGCCTCTCAGGCAGATGTACTCCGACTTCGAAGGAAGCTCCTAATTAGTCGCCTCTTCGACTCTTACGACATGCTTTTGGGCAGGCAGTGGGTCTATTCTTGTTTCCCCCTATAATTTAGACTCGGAACCCACACGGGGATGTCTCCTTGGATCGCGCAGAGCTAGGGGAGTCCTTTTCAGGACTACTTGGTGGCGAGGACTACTTGGTGGCCAGCAGTGCTTGGTGGCGAGGACTACTTGGTGGCGAGGACTACTTGGTGGCGAGGACTACTTGGTGGCGAGGACTACTTGGTGGCGAGGACTACTTGGTGGCGAGGACTACTTGGTGGCGAGGACTACTTGGTGGCGAGGACTACTTGGTGGCGAGCAGTGCTAAGACATTTTATCTGGCGCATATAACCTAATGTATGCGAAGGCCCCTATACTGCACACCTCGTTGGCAGAAACTATTAAGTAAGTTGGTGCGGCTCAACTGTGGTCATGAATATGGAGAAAACCGTGCGGTGGGTTAAAAGCCCCATTTTTTGGTGTGTGTGTGGGGGGGGGGGGCATGTCATAGTGCCTTTTAAAAAATCGAAAAATCGACTGTGGACTGGGGAAGGGCGGGGGGGGGGGGGGATTCCTTTGATAACGCAATGCATCTGGATGAGAGACGTTCAACCAGCCTTTTGCGTGCAAGTAAGCCAGATCTGTAAAACGGGTGTGCACGTAAAACTGAAGCTTTAGAACAAGAACAAAGTTCAGAAGTGGACAAACAACCAGAAACCGCCGAAGTTTACGACTGGTAAACGCGAAGAAGAAAAAGAGGAAAAAAAACTTAGTGAATTTTTCACAAAGATGGGAGACAAAAGTTTAAAAATTTACCCCTCTGTTCGTTTTATGTTTGCAGGCTACGCATGGGATACACGTGTACTCTCCTAAATGTTATATGTGTGCAAATAGTCTACGTTGGAGAGTTAATGATACCTTTCTGTCCGTTGTTTTGCACGTATGCCACACACACACACACACGCGCGCGCACGCACTCACACACACGCTCATACGGGAGACGAGAGTTACACCTTACTGTTACACCTTACTGTTACACCTTACTGTTACACCTTACTGTTACACCTTACTGTTACACCTTACTGTTCGCTGTATACATGTAAATAACAACACGTGAGAAAGTTAAATGTACCTTCATGATTGTAGTATGCTTGTATTCCGTGCATATTGGGGGATACGGGTTAAATATACCTTCCTGGTCCTGTTGTGCCTCTGTGTCATACATATGGGAGACAATAGTTAAGTATACCTTTCTTAAGTTAAGAATGCTTTTATGACGCAGAGATGTAGTTTTGTAGAGGGATAATGAGAACATCTGTACCGAATTTTTTTTTAAAGATTTATGAACATGTCTTGAAATAAACTGACTCACGAAGAGAACTGTTTGCGCACATCAGGAGACAATCTACATTCTTTGGTCATACAGTCTACATTCTTTGGTCACGCAGTCTACATTCTTTAGTCATACAGTCTACATTCTTTGGTCACGCAGTCTACATTCTTTAGTCATACAGTCTACATTCTTTGGTCATACAGTCTACATTCTTTGGTCATACAGTCTACATTCTTTAGTCATACAGTCTACATTCTTTGGTCACGCAGTCTACATTCTTTGGTCATGCAGTCTACATTCTTTGGTCATGCAGTCTACATTCTTTGGTCATGCAGTCTACATTCTTTGGTCATGCAGTCTACATTCTTTGGTCATGCAGTCTACATTCTTTGGTCATGAAGTCTACATTCTTTGGTCATGCAGTCTACATTCTTTGGTCATGAAGTCTACATTCTTTGGTCATGAAGTCTACATTCTTTGGTCATGAAGTCTACATTCTTTGGTCATGCAGTCTACATTCTTTGGTCATGAAG